ACGATCGACATTATTGGAAGAGCTGTCTTGAAACATGTCTGATTCCACCATTAGTCAAGTCCCGACTGATTGAGCTTTGACATTCTGCCGAGCGAGCACGAAGGGTACACCCCCCCCCCACCCAATGACTTTGACGATCGACATTATTGGAAGAGCTGTCTTGAAACACGTCCGATTCCACCATTAGTCAAGTCCCGACTGATTGAGCTTTGACATTCAGCCGAGCGAGCACGAAGGGTACCCCCCCCCCCCCCAATGACTTTGACGATCGACGATCGCACGATCGACGGCGATCGACAACGTTGATAATTTCGATTATTTCCAACTATTTAATGTACGCGATAATTTATTTTGTAATAATGCTATCCGGTGTCCGAAAAATTATTTCATCAGTTAAATTGTTCATGAAAAGTACCAACGAGGTTTAATTAACAAGAGACTTCCATAAATCGATCGAATTGTTTAAATTATTAAATCGAATTGCTTTCGTTAATATATTTACTATTTGTCGCTTCTTAATATTTACAACAATTCTGTTTGTTAGAAACATGGTTAAGCACCCCTCTGGCTATTTTGCCATTTAATTTGTCAATGAAATTAATTGATAGAATCATACATATAGAGTAATGTTTCGTGCCCGAATGTTTCGAGAAATTGTTGCAGTTGACGAATTTCGTTAATAAATTGATTGCTTTTCGCTTGGCTATTTCATTGTATCATTTCGTAACGGAAATAATTAATAATGTCGAACATACAAAATGAATTTTAAAGCACGAATTTATCGAAGAATCCTTACATCGAAAATATTCTATTGATACATTTATTATTTCTAGCTGTTTGATAATAATTATAAGAATTTCTTTTGCGAATGACACTATCTAGTACTTTCTAATCTGTTTTACAATCAAAAATGTTTAAACAAAAATAGCTAACAGAACTCGAGGTTTAATATTTACAAAAATTCGTTTTGTCACAATGACATTATTAAATACTCCCGTAGCTATTTCGTCGTATCGTTTCGTAACGAAAATAATTAATAACGTCAAATGTACACAGTGATTTTAAAACCACGAATGTGTCGGAGAATCTTTTACTTCGAAAATATTCTATATATATATAATTTATATAATTTCTATTCCTAATGAAACCTTCTAGTACTCTCTTGTTTATTTAACTATTTAAAGTTTAAACAAAATTAACTAATGCAACTCGTGATAGAAAAACACTTTCGAAACATAAATGTTAAGTAATCCAGTTTCGCATGAATATTAGTCATATGCCAAGCACGTGTAAACGTCCACGAAAATCATGTTTTTCCATACTTCAATAAAATTTTGACAATTAAATCAAAAATTGTTTTCAAGATTTATTTTCCATATTTATCGTCGACCAGAAATAATCGCAAGGGGAATCAGAAGCCCTCGCAATATCAATGTTGCGTGCAGTTTTATTTCGAATTCTGAATTAAGCTGTCGCACATTAAGTTAGAGCAATTTTTTGAGTATTTATGCCAATTGATGTTTGACAGCCATAAATAGCTCGTAGCTTCTTATGCTGAATAGCTGAATATATAACTGAATAGCTCCTAGTTTCTTATTTATTTGTTTATTCAAAATGTATTGTTTATTGATAAAATTGTCGCATCCAATTCACATCGAATCGTCAGCCAATCAGAATAAAGCAGTTTCTACTCCTATTCTCGATAACGGAGCGCGCTGTGGCCGGAGAATCTTGCAGAAACTTAGGTATGTAATCACTGTCCAGGCCCGCTTAAAAACATTAACGCAGCCGATATTTGCATGGTACGTAAGATTCAAAATAATACAAATTTTTTGTGGTTTAATTTTTAAATATTCTGATAATTTACAGTTGAACTTAAAAAGTAATCTAACGCATTGAATTTGGTAGTGTTTCATAAAAAACACGCAACTAACACTGTGGCGCTGGAAAAATACTAGGCAATTTAAGGAAAGTTAGTGACTACGTATTCATTGTGTAGTTTATGTCCTCTCATGCTACATATCCGCTTTCATTAACCTCTTCTGTCTTTTTAGATAGGAACCCAGTGCACGTTCACGTATTGCTCCGTAATCGTATTCCATCTGTCTATAGTTTTTATATTTTTACACATTATCAACCAAAATGCCTCCTAAATTCGATCCTACTGAAATCAAGAAAGGTATTTTTTCAATTTGAAATCTTTTTTGCATGAAATAAAGCAGAATGTGTGAATACATTTGTATGTTTCAATAGTTTTCCTGCGGTGCGTAGGTGGTGAAGTAGGTGCAACTTCTTCCCTTGCTCCTAAAATTGGTCCGCTTGGTTTGGTAAGTCTCATAATATATCAATAAATCGTTAATTTAATCAGTTTTATCTGTTTAAACTATATCATTTCAAACTGAAGTATTTAACCCTATCTTACATCCAAAAATTGTATAAAATATTTTTTGATAGTAATGAAATTATTTTAATATTTATAGTCACCAAAAAAAGTTGGTGATGATATTGCCAAAGCTACAAGTGACTGGAAGGGTTTGAAGATCACGGTGCAGCTGACTATTCAGAACAGACAAGCTACTATCTCCGTAGTTCCATCTGCAGCTTCTTTAATCATTAAGGCGCTGAAAGAGCCACCAAGGGATCGTAAGAGGCAGAAGAATATTAAGCACAGTGGAAATTTAGCTTTCGATGATATTGTTACAATTGCAAGAACAATGAGACCAAGATCAATGTCAAAATACCTCAGTGGTACTGTTAAAGAAATTCTTGGAACGTGTCAATCTGTTGGTTGTACAGTAGAAGGCAGACCACCACGTGACCTTATTGATGACATCAATGCTGGAGAATTACAAGTTCCCGATGAATAGATATGGTAGGTTTAGAGCTCACTGCTAACTTTTCATCATAATATCTAACAATCTCAAGATGTGAAAAAATTATGAAGTATGGTATTATGATGTAAAGTATATGCTTTGAGCTCTTGGTAGGGGTTAGCATCCCATCCACTTGATTAGTTATAATTATGCTATGTTGCATTGTTATAAGCTATCAGGGATATTGCTACTGAGGAGAACACCTCAATAATAAATCATGAAATAATATATAATACTTATGTAATACCCAAACTCAAAAATTTTGTTTCCATTGTTTCAGATTTTTAAAAAAAGGAACAAAAAATAAAATAATTAAAAATATAAACTGTTTTATTTTTTATTAAATGATAGTTTTCCGATGTCCTGAGATATTTTCTCTAGGCAGTGACACACTGCTTAAAATTTCCATACGTTTTTGTTTTTTCCATATAATTTTGCTATTATTTAAAGAAAGCATATACATCAATTTCAAAAAATAAATATAACATTTATTTAGAGAGAAATGTAAATATAATTTAGAAAAGAAGAAAATATGAAGTTTCTATAAAGTTACTTGG